GCCGCAAGAAGCAGCGCGTAATTCATCTGGATAGGCGAGGTAGCGAGGCTGATCATGTTTTGACCCAGGTTTTGTATGGTTTTAATCGTGTTGCATGCGGTGATCGTAAGCTGCGCAAGGCAACCTGACGCGAACGAACTGGGATTCCGGAAAAGGTGAAATATCTGGATACTAAGCCGACACATGGTTGTGGCGAACTGATCGTATGCTGTATACAGATTAGCTGAGACTTGCCCTGAGAAAGGATACGTACCCGAGTAGGCCTGGGCCTCCAGGTCAAGTGCTTGGGCGTCGTATGCCCGTAAAAGAATATCGAATGATTTTTCTTGTTCAAGGGACATGGTCCGGACCCCAAATTCGAGCACCGCCGCGCTGCCGCGGGTAATCAGGTCCTCGCATCTCAGCTCGAGTGCCAGGGACGGAGCAATTCTCTGGAACAACATATGTTTTAGGTCCCCATCCGGCTCTAAGTTCACTAGAGAGCGCGGGGGTTGCCCCTTTACCACACAAGCACTAGGTCCGCTTAGCAAGAAGGTCAATATCCAAAGCGAGGAGCTTACCGCTGATAGACGATAACACAATGAGCCCAAAGCTCTGAGCGCCTGATCATTTCCGCTTCTGATGGGGCAGGAAGCCTCTTCCTCTTGGAGAACTCATGGCTGGACATGGGAATGTGTAGGCCGTTCTGCATGGCAATGTGTAGAAGCATACCGCTCAATGGAAACGTCATGTCCACCATATTGGCATCCTTTGGAAATGGCCACGTGAGAACTAGTAACAGTCCCTGGATGCTGTGCCACGCAGACGCCCCTGATGCAACCGATAGAAAGGCCATCTCGTTCACACTACGCGCCAGCGCAGTCAAAAGTGTTGGGTTTTTAGAATAGGTTCTGGATGCAATACCGACAACAGACCAGAAGAGAAATGGAGACTGTGTATGGAACGCGTTTGGCGTGGTCTCAGGGTCTAGAATCGGAAGAAATGACGCGTATTGATGGAAGAATCTGTCTTTTCGTGTCAGACATGCCAAAATTGCAATCGTACGAGAGTATACGCACATCTGAAACAGCTCGTCAATTTCATTTCCTGTCAAGTGTATATTGTTCAGTGTACGCGGCTCCGTAGAATCAGAGGCTCGTACACCCGGCACCACTTCAGGAACCAGCAACGGCGGCGGTCCTAGTCCGATAGAAGGTAGTAACTGTTGCTGGTTCTCAACTGAAGGTGTGTGCGATTCAGTATGGAAGGTCAGTTCACCCACGCTGGCGGCCGAGTTCACTTCCATTTCCGCCGCAGCCGTCAACATAGCGATCGGTGAGGGTTGGGTGTGGTTGGGTTGTGTATATCTTAATCGCCGTCTCAGCTCGTCTGTCTCTTGTTCTAGCTCGGAGAGTCGCCTGTTGTAAGATAGCTAATAGTGAGAATCTTTCAACCACCGTAAATCAAAAGAGAACGCACTTGCGCTTATGTTCCCGGCGAAAGGGATCGGAAATAACACAGTGGATGTTCAGCTTGGAACACCGGGTGCATGGTTGGTCGGGATTCAGGTAGGCATCACATTTTGCCTGTTGTGTCGTTAGGGAATGGCCATTCATCGGTAACACGTTTCCCTTTCTGAGCCCACAATAGAGAATTCAGTGTTTAACCTTTCCTACCTTCTGCTGCCTACATTCCGTGCAAGCCTTTTTGCCTCGTTTTACTGATGGTGAAGGCCTATGGCAGTTCACATTAGTTGTGCTCAAGAATGGTTCTTGGGTGAGATCAGTGGCCAAGGGTGGATATTATGGGTCTCTCACGTTCGTTCCGGGGGATCCATTGAAGAGTATATTGCTTGAGCGCGGGTTTGGTCTCTACGAATTGATGGCTGATGCAGTTGCAGTCGCGATGACGATGAAGGTTGAAGACGCCTGCGGCCAAGATTCGGCTCCGGGCCAGTGTGCGGAGATAGCGCCATCCTAATCTCCGGTGAATTGAACAAAGAGGAGTCTAGAGCCTCGGAATGTAACAACCAGCAACGTTAACAGGAAGCCAAGGGTGACAAGCAGTTAGTAAGTATTCGTGGATGATGGCGAGAAATGAATCTATAAGAGCATAACCAGGTCGCTTGCAATCATGATGATGCTGAAGCAATGCTTTGCGGGGGGGGGCCGAGTCAGCACCCGACAAGGTACGACGTAAGTTGAGATAAAACAGAGAGGCAAGTGAATGAGCACAGGATGGATGATTCCATCAATGGACGTTAACCCTACCAACTGAACCGATTTTGCTGCCTACGGACTCCAGATCCATCCACTGGAAGGTCTTGCTGTGCCGGAACCGGCACAGCACTCCGGAACAAGAGACGATATGATTGGCCGATAACCCGGTACCGGCGGCCCAGCTATCGCTATCGCTGCTATTCTTTGAGTGTCTTTCGTGTCAGAAAACTAGTCTACGAGCGTGTACAAAGTGAATTAGATACATATATAAGGAAATATATCTATTTGATGTGTGTGGAAGATTCCGATACCTCGGGAAATGCCTACAAATCCTGCAGATCCTGCCCTTCGTATGAAGGAGGCATCCCACGTAGGATCGGTAAGCTAGAAATGCCTACCCAACACAAAGGGGGTTGAGCCTGAGTGTTTAATTAGATCATATCAAGCTTTGATACATTGTTTCTATTAATTTCCTAGGTCCTGAGCATTCTAAACCCGGATGTGCTCTATCCCTGCTGACGGTTGCCATCAATGACAAAAGTCAGACACATGATATAACGTACATAGAGTGGCAGAATGACTGACCCTCATAATCAAGGAACATCAATTGCACTATGCTCCGCTGATCATTGATTTGATTGTATTTAACGACCTTTTGCCCCTAAAAGAGGTTGTAAGTGCCATGACGCTGTAGAGTGAGTCATTCTGTCCAAAGATGGCATAGCCGGTAGGAAGTTTTTCCTTAACAAGGAAAAGGTACCCCGTTTGCCATAACTGCAGGGGCGATTATCGGGAAAGCATACTGAAATCTCATTACAAGAATGGATCCATTGGCCCATGTCATATGGTACCATGAGATGAAGGATCTATGGCCACATGTCTGGATGCATCATCAATCGTAGCACAAACCCGGGTCCCCATGGGCGATGTTGGACGTATCGATCCGATCAAAGGAAAGGGTAGGATACTACCTGGCCTGCCAGATGTTGTAAACCCGACGGGGTTGTAGGCCTGGACTTGTTGGGGACAAATAGAACCTTGAATGACGCCCTGCAGGTTTCCGGCCAAGGATGCAAACCTGTGGATGGTATGAAGTCTATATCAGACCATACTCTTGGCGAAGATAGTTACGGTGCCACAAGCGGACTGCAGTGGCTGCTGCATCGAGTGACGTGACACTGGGATGCTTCCGTGTTTTTGGGAGCCGTTGGAGGTCAAATACCTGCTGCGTGTCCTAACGCGTCTCATCGGAGGAAGATCATCTCAGAAGCAGTTTCCAGATTTGTGATCGTGCATGCGCAATAGAAGTCCAGACTCGCAGTGGTAACAATCCAGTTCGGACGCTGATATGGAAACCACTGTCGGAGATTGGATTGCCGTTTTGTTGCTTACCATTACACCAACTAGCGGGTGCCGATCATTCGAGCGAGAATTGCCTAAGGTATGGCTCGCTCGAAAGGATCGGTAGTGTGTCATTGTCGCAACGCGTGGCTGCGATCGCCGCTGCAAGGCCAGGGCCTGGCCATCCACAAAGAACCTGTCAGGCCATGTTAGATGAGAAATGGGTCTAGCAGACCCAAGCATCTGACCTGTACTTTCAATTGAGCTCGTGGGTGTGGTACAGTCGCCTAGCCATTGTGACGAGCAATTCTCGACCGCCGACCTGTAGTAGCTGAAGATAGCAGGAGAGTAATTGACTTTGCATCTCGTCGTTTGTCTCCTACGATTATGTTAGTATTAGTCATGTTGACATGTGTAGTTGGGATATGATGTGGCGAAAGGTGAGGCGCATATTCATTCAGTGGCATCACCGCAGCCACGCCGCGGCGACCCAGCATATAAACACGGCGCAACCAAACATGCCAACACCATTCAAACCTTGGAATTATACCAAGAGCATAATGTATTCCGAACTTCCAGATATTGCCGGATTGAAGCGCGCCGTGCAAAGCGGCCAGCGCATTGGCCCCGAGGATGTCTGCTTTAGCACAGACCGAGAGCGAATTGGCCGGTGCCGGACCTCAGGGGCGGAAATGCAGGTTTGTTCTTCCCTGGAGACAATCACTGCAGATGTTGACCCGACGAAAACAGCAACTGCTCAAAATCTAGCTACGAAAAAGATGAACTTTGAGGAAAAATTGGACGAACTCTCGAAAGCCCCAAAGCAATATAACCCAGGATGATGCTCAAGAGCTTCATGCAGCGGAGGTAAGCAGAAATATATTTGGCCTCTGGCTCTACGTCATGTCTAATTGTGAATTGTGTATATAGGGTCGAGCCTTCAACAGAGTGCTGCTGATAAGATTGAAAACGCGTACCGGGAATAATTCTCGAAATTGTGCCATCGTACGGCATCATTCAAGCCAGCAGCCTCATTTCATCAACACTTGACGGCATCCGGGTGCTAACTATCGTCTAGCATCTACATTGTGCCTCTTGAGCATCCTGATACGGTCCCAGTCCTCCCTGGCCCTGCGTATACGTTCGCTATTGGTGTCGTTGATTCTTGCCTGCATGTGTGGTGGAACATTTTTTGTCTTCCAGAGGGCACTTTGTGACGCTCCCGCGCCCTAGGGTGAGGCTTTGGCTTTTGCAACTCCATCTTTTGCGGCCTACCCCATGGCTTATTGTGTTGCTTACTTGCTTGCCTGTCTGCATAATATTTGGTGACTCCATGTGGTGCATTAGCCATGCCTATCTAGGCATAGTTGTCGCCGAAATATAGTCAGGTGAACATGCTCTCCATAGTTCCTTATGTCCCTCCCATATTGAAACACATTTTCCAGCCGAAGCTCCAGACCTGCCCGGTTAGCTCAATTGGTCAGAGCGTCAGACTTGTGAGTTGTCCTTCAAAAATCTCATTAATATGCAAATGCTAATAATCACCCAGTTATCCAAGAGTCCATCTGAATGTTGCGAGTTCGAGTCTCGCATCGGGCGAATTCTTTTTTTTTCTTTTCCCATCTCGGGACTCATAAGAATGAATGACTTTTGGCTTCATCACTGAAAGCTCCTTCCAATAGTTTTCTTTATTTGATTTTCTTTTCTTTTTTCTTTTTTTACTATTGCCATCTTCCTTGCACGCATCGAGACTATCTCTCAATCATACCTCCTCAACTAACCTACCTAACTAAGAATAATCCAATATCGGATTCCCCCCCCCCTTCTCAACACAATGTATACTGACTGACCTTCCACACAGAAAGACCACCACCAAGAACCAGCTCACAATGACAATAGCCGCCAAAACAAAAAAAAAAAAAAAAAAAAAAAAACCACAAAAAAAAAAAAAAAAAAAAAAAAAAAAAAAACACTGATCGGCCGGCCAACGACCCTCTTCTATACCGCCCCGCAATATTGCATGTCTCAATTACATAGATAGATAGTAGATTGTCACTGCACACTTTCCCCAGATGGAGCCCCGTGACATGAAAGCTTGATTTTTTTTTTCCGAGACAATCTTTATTCTTTGGTGAAGGCTTCGTCATCGTCTTGTCCAAGGGTGGTGGTGGTGGTGGTGGAATTAACTAAATGGCTGGCTGGCAGAGAATCTCGGGGAAATGTCGGAGACGGGTTGGGTTCGTTGCTGATATCTATCTACCTACCGGTGATGGTGATGGGCAGATCCTGCAGGATTCGATATTTGATACGGAGTACGGAGTACGGAGTAGGAATCGACACCACATGGTTGACGTAAGCGGGGATGTATATGTCTCAGGCCCATGGTACGGTACTTAGGTGGGGGGGGGTTCAAGGTTTTATTAAGGAATATTGAACATGAATCACGGAAGACGGACGTTAGTGAAATAATCAGGAAATTATATATATTGTACAGAAGAGAGAGAGAGACAAAGAGAGAGAGAGACAAAGAGAGAGAGAGACAAAGAGAGAGAGAGAGAGAGAGAAATAGGTCATGTCATGTCCGCTGACGAGAGTTTTGCTGGCGCTGGCAGATCATAGCCAGCTTCCAGATTTCCGGGATTGGAAAGTCCACTAGAGAGCCAGTATGTCTCGCTAGTCGCGATGCCAAGGTAGATAAAAGCTCTGTGGCTCGTAAGAGAACAGAGAGGTTGGAACCGCATGTAGTAAAAGGACTTAGTGAGGTCAAGAAACTGACTCCTGCACTCACAGTAATAAGAGCCGAGAACTGCCTATGGAAAAAAAAGGGTCAGACTGGGAGCCGAGCTAGTACTGAAAAAAAGGTTCTTGGAACTTCTTACTGGCCAATGAGATATCCCGGGTCATCTTCCAGCTCCTGGAAGATCTGTTCGATGATCGGGGTGTATTCTGTGAGAGCGGGTTCAAGTCGCGGGCCAATTGAGGAGGAGGAGGAGGAGGAGGAGGAGG